GATTAACAATGTTCTATGTTGTATGTATTTTTTTCATGCCTAATGTATTTCTTTTACAATATCAGTGTTAGACAAACTAGACTTTAGGGCAAAGAGCATTATTTGAAATAAAGGCAGTTATTACATCCTGATAAATGGAGCAATTCACCAGGAAGATATAATAATCCTGAATCTGTATGTGCCTGACAACATAGTCTCAAAAAATATGAGGCAAAAATTAAGAAGGAAGAGTACACAAAGCATGAGATAAAAAAAAAAAAAAAAAAAAACATTATTTGAAATAAAGGCAGTTATTACATCCTGATAAATGGAGCAATTCACCAGGAAGATATAATAATCCTGAATCTGTATGTGCCTGACAACATAGTCTCAAAAAATATGAGGCAAAAATTAAGAAGGAAGAGTACACAAAGCGAGAAAAAAAAAAAAAAAAAAAAAAGAACCCTGTCAAAGTATTAGGCTAAGCAGTCAAAAAATTAGCAAGTACATAGAGCAGTTGAATAAAATAATTAATAAAGTTGATAATGAGCCCTCACCCCAGAGTTTAATAGTGTATTCAAATGTTTGAAGTAAGAAATACTTTTAAAAGCATGACTTGAACAGACATATATGTATATACCTATAACTTCAGAAGCAAAAGTTTTGTGAAGTGTTTCCCCTTACATGGTACAGTTTTTCTCTTTTCTGTTCCTTTGCTGTTAGTGCTGGTCTCGTTGTACAAAACTGATATAATGACCCACCAACGGATTGAATTGACACCCTTTTTCTTGAAAACACTAAGAAAATATACGTGCTTTTCAAGTACACACAGAACATTTACAAACTGACTTTCTGGATTCCCCTCACCATACCAAGCATCTGGTACTCCTCTTGTTCTGCCTCTTGTCCTTCCCCCTGCTAAAGCAAAGATGACTTTGACTCCTAGTTTTACTGAGTCAAGGCCATACGATACATCCATCTGCTTCTCATCTCCATTTCTATATTTAGCCTTTTCATCTTTTCTTCTAGACTTAGAAGAAAGTAAAATCTTTCATTTCCAAGGTTAACGTTTACACCTGTACTTTTGATTTCATTTTCTTTTGTTTTCTTTTCCTCCTTAAATAGCTCCTGGTTTTTATGCCTAGACATTTCTCCTTGACCACCCTATCATGAACTCAGTCTTAATGGCCTAACTAGTTCTCTCTCAAATAACCTCAAAGATTATTAGTGACTATTATTTTTATTTTTATTTATTTATTTATTTATTTGCGCCGGGTCTTTGCAGCACGAGGGATCTTTTTTTTTTTTTAGTTGCGGCATGCGGGATCTAGTTCCCTGACCAGGGGTCGAACCCGGCCCCCCTGCATTGGGAGCGCAGAGTCTCAACCACTGGACCACCAGGGAAGTCCCAGTGACCATTATTTTTAGTCGTTAGACCGCAAAACTTAGTCATCTTTATAGTTTTTTTTTAAGTGAAATTTTAATTTTCTTGAATGGCTGCTATAGTCACATGGTTCAAAATGCCAAAGGTGCAAAAGGGTATTACTGAGTTAGGAGGTTCTCGCCCACCTTTTCTCCTGCTGCTGTATAGCCTGCTTTTTCTCCCTTCCTCCTTCTTACTCATCTATGTCCTCATCTTATCCCTCTCAAGAGAAGATAGACGTTTCACTGTCATTTCAAAATTTACCCTCTTCCTGTCCTTTGTGTAGCTTCCTTTCATGTTAATCCCCTTTTGTACATTCTTCACCTACTGCCCACCCTGCTCCCCAAGCTACTATATCCTTTCAAGCCAAGCCTCTTGTAATAAATAACCTTCTAGCTCCTTTCCCT